GTTTGCACCTAGTCAAATTATACATAAAAAAACCATAACTGTATATAGAACAGGAAAATATTGAAAAAATGAGCAGTTATTTTCATATATTCCATAATATTTGTACATTTGGATCATAACCTCCGATGTTGAAAAAAAAATTAATTTATAATAATTTTGAAAAAAGGATCTCAAACAGAAAAAAATACTCGTATCTTATATGGAATTATTCAGAATTGCATTTGGAATAAACCTATACATGTCTTGGGGGGTACTTTTTGAGTAAATTCACCAAAAAGTAGTGATTTTGGGGAGAAAAAATATTTTGACTATTTAGATTTAGGCCTAGAACTAGCACTCAAAAGTATTGATTTCTCAATTTCAGTGCACTGGCAATTTGAGTCCAGTAGTATCAATATTATAAAGAAGAGTCCTACACTTCTTTAGTGAGCAAAATAATGATACATTTTGTTGTGTAAAAGTACTAAGACTGGTGTCTGGGCTATAATTTGGGCTTCGCGATAAAACAATGTCACATAAACTTTGAAATCGTGTTTCAAAACGGAATCAAAACTTCCGATTTTCGGTGGAAACGCTTGACCCGGAAGTCAACTTTATATTATGACCTTTATTTTAACATGGATATGTGGATTGGAATAGAAACCAAGCTAAAATTGGACGTCGGTTCTCGAGCCGCCGGGGGCGGCTAAGCGTACTGACGGCACTTTAGCCATGCCGCCCCCCACGGCTCGGTGTAGCGAATGAGTTAACTTGAGTTTTCATAGGTTTGAATTAGATAGTTAGTTATCTGATCTATTCTGAATTCTGTAGTTCCTTATGACAGTACGGTCAATCATGACTAATAATTATTTTTACGCTTCTCTTATCCTCTGTCAGGTGTCAGAGAAACTGAAACTCGGTGCCAAAACCGCCATTGATATTGAGAAACTCAGAGACGGCTACCGTCCAGCCGCTAAGCGGGGAGCCATCTTGTTCTTCGTCCTGGCCGAGATGTCGCAGGTGAACACCATGTACCAATACTCTCTGGCCTCGTACCTGGAAGTCTTCGAGCACTCGCTGAAGAAAAGCTTGCCTGACTCCATCCTGCAAAAACGACTCCGAAACATCATGGATACTCTCACTCACAATATCTACAACTATGGGTGCACAGGTAATTGATATAATAATATATGCATAATTGATATAGAGTAAATTCCCATTCAATAGTGAGCTCTATGTCATCGTGGCGTCGGTGGCCTAGTGGTTAGGCTCTCGGACTCGCAACCGTAAGGTCGTGGGTTCGAATCCCGTCAGGGGCCCGACGTTGTGTCCTCGGGAAAGACACTTTGCACAAATTTTCCTCACTTCACCCAGGTGGAAATGGGTACCCGGCTATAGACAGTGAATGATCTTGTCAGTTTGATTGTGTTTGAGCGCGTGAAATCCGCAGCTTGCACTGTATGCTTCCGCGGAAACCGAGTATGTTTCTGAGTGTTCTCAGAGGGTCTTCTGGGGTGATAATAGTTGTAAAGCGCATAGAATATGCTCTTGAGCGTGGATATGTGCTATATAAATGCAATTATTATTATTATTATTATTATTATTATTATTATTATTATTATTATTATTATTAAATCAGCAAGCTGTTTAATTGTACTAAGCCCAGAAAACGAAATTTTACTGGAGAGATAAGAAACCTTTCATTTTTTCAACTTATTGTACCTACTATTATATGTTTTTTTACTTGCCTTTTTTTAAAATTCAGAAATTGAATTTGGACAAAGTGATTCATGAGCACATCGAAAGGATACCACTGATGAATAAACTGCAATAAGAGAAATTCAAAATTTTGAGCTTAGTTTCATTTTAACAACTGGCTGACGATGTGCTTTTCAATCTATACTCCAGCAGACTTGATGGCGTTTTCAAATAATCTCAGCATCCTGAAATGAATACGAATATAGATTTTTTTCTTTATTTGAGGATGTGTGCTTATTTTTTCTTCAGATTTGCTAATTCCATTTTCATTGTTTTTATTCAGATACCTAAATCTTTTCATCTTTCGAAGCTCGTGTATTTCATTCATGCGTTGGCTTAAAGAATAGAAGGTGAAATAGGTAGAGGCAGATATAGAATTACATACTTAGAGAATATGAAAGGATGGATGACAGAAAAAGGCCAGGAAATTGCTATAATAATTAGCTTTCATTTTGAACTGCTGAACAAGAAAATAAACGGAGAACCTGGATCACAAAGAAAAAGAAGAAGAATTAAAGTTAACAGTAGGGAGAAGGAAAGGAGCAGGAGGACGGCAAACCTTTATCTTCAAAATTTATCGGTCTGTCTGGTAGTATGACAAATCAAAGCCGGCAGAAAACTGTTATTGATCCTTTAAGACACTGGGATGCTTTACAACTCTTATTTTCTATGCCTTATCTTATAATTGATAATATTTTCCTGTGAAATTTCTTGTATTTTTGTATTTGAAAGGATTGGTGTACATGGAGTGGGCAGGTATGAATGAAAGCTGTTGTAGATTTATTTCAGTTGTGAAGCACGTTTAGCCACCAGGGAGTGAGCGTTGTGGTAGTGATCTTTGTTATTAAGTGATAGCCAGTTTGCTTTGAGATATTTCTTTGACTTTGCCCCAACTGGCATCTCTACTTTATTGTGTATTTTCTTGTAAAATATTCAGTTTGTTGTGAGGTGTTTCTTTGACTCTGTCTCCACAGGTATCTTTGAGAAGCACAAGCTGCTCTTCTCCTTCCAGATCAACATCAAACTGGAACAGGACAAGAAAGCTGTCGTGCAGGAGGAACTTGATTTCTTCATCAAGGTGAGCCTGATTTCTTTCCTTTTGTTGATTTCTTTATCAAGGTGAGCTTGATTTCTTTCTTATCAAAGTGAGCTTGCTATCTTTCCTTTTGTCAATTTCTTCATCAATGTAAGCTGTATGTCTTTACTTTTGAATCTTTGTTCTCTCCTTCCTATAGTGTCATTAATTTTTATTTGTTCTCATAATTTGTTTATATTTGAATTTAAGAATCACACTGCTTTCACGTGTATTTTAAAAGATGATTTTTCTGCCAAAGTAGATTCTCTTTCTGCTAATATCATTAGTATGAATCTTAAATTTTAGTTTGTTCCTATTTTTAGCCTATTTGAATTAAAGAATTACACAGCTTCCAGGTGTATTTAAAAAGAACATTTTCAGTATGGTGGTATTTTTACATATATAAATTGTTATTTCATTATATTAATAATTCAATCTTGTGATGATATTTTTCTGAATCTTTTTCTGTAAACAGTATTGCTCTCAAGCTGTCTTTAAAAGATGAAACGATATTTAATTCATGCACATATGTATAATATTATTGTCATCTCTGCAGTTTCATTTGACAAAATATTTTCATTCTAGGGCAAAGTTGCTCTAGAGAAAAGCAAGCGCAAGAAGCCATTCCCCTGGGTACCGGACGAGGGATGGGAGGACTGCAACCGTTTGGCGGTTGAATTCTCAGCATTCCAAAATCTACTTGATGACATTGAGCGCAACGAGAAAACCTGGAAGACGGTATGCTGATAGCTGAAGTTTGAAGTGAATAGAGTCGAACCTGTCAAAGGGGAGAAAAGGGGTCACCTGCTTGAACTAATGGTTCTCTTGGAAAACTGCATAGTGGTATTTTGGAGAAAAAAAAAGGGGGGGGGGGGGAGGGAGAAGCAGTCATTTGTTAAAGTGGCTGTCTTGAACAGGTAGTGATTAGAAACAAGTTCGACTGTATATTTACGAGTAACATTTTATCGAAGTTAATGTACACAGATTTGCCAACTCTGTGCTTTGCCATCATTAAACTTACCTCTTTGTGTGAGTCTTATTTGTGAGGCAGCGTGGTGGAATCAGGCTCTCGTCAAAATAATCAAAGTGAAGAAACTGGCATTTTTCCGCAGGTTTGTGAATTTTTATCAAATTTTTTTTTTTTGGCTCAACATCTTTTATGCCCATTAAAGAACTCATTTCTGAGTGGATTTTTCTGAAAAGCTTTGATTAAAGGCACAAAAAAAAGTAAATTTTCAGTTACAACGGCCTCTTAAACTAAGGAAATAACTAATCTTTGGCGGCCATTTTCTCACTAATTTTACCTCTGAAAACAGGTGATCCCCACCTCCTTCTTGAGCAAATATCTCGACTTGTATTCAAGATAAATGGATATTTTTTTCATCCAAATAAAGACAAGTGAACAAGCTTTAAGATGATACCAATAACTCTACATGCCCAAAATTTGACGAGAGCCTGATTCCACCACGCTGCCTCACATTTACTTTATTTCTGCCTATACTGTATCATTGTATTAAAAACATAATGTCTTCACCGAGATAAACTTGACAACATCAACAAATAAAGTAATAATGCTTTTATTGGCTTATTTCAGAATGAGACCAAAACCCAACTGAAAAATAGCAACAATAGCATCATACTTCAGAAAAAATTGCAATTTTATTTAACTGTATTTTTAATAAATATCTTTTTCAATTAAAGCGAGAACCACCTGATATAGATGTTAATTTGTACCATAATCAGTATTATCTATCCAGCCATTGTCATCAATGTGAAAATAACATACCTGTGTCTGTCCATCCAATGACTTCGTGTGTGTGTGTGTGTGTGTGTGTGTGTGTGTGTGTGTGTGTGTGTGTGTGTTAATGTGTGCGTATGAATATATATATTTACCTTGCCCCTGCAAATTTCTCTTTGTGGAGATCAATAAAATGATAGCTTATATTATCTTCTTTTTCAGTGGTTTGACCATGACACTCCAGAATCTCAGCCGTTCCCTCTCAACTATGAGCAGACACTGTCTGAATTCCAAAGATTGATGCTCCTCCGTTGTTTCCGCATTGATCGTATATTCAGAGCAGTCACTGAGTACGTGACCAAGACTATGGGAGAGAAATACGTTACCCCGCCGATCATCAGCTTTGAGACTGTTTACGAGCAGAGCACCCCGACGTCGCCGATTGTATTCATTCTGAGCCCGGGCTCTGACCCCGCAAGCGACCTCATGAAGCTGGCTGATCGGATTGAATTTGGTAGCAACAAGCTCAAGTTCCTCTCCATGGGTCAAGGACAAGAGAAGGTTAGTAACATTGACATTGGTTGGGATGGGGGGAGGGGAGGGGGCTGAAAGAAGGGATAGGATTTTGGGTTCCGTTCTTGTTGCTCATTCTCTCACTTTCTTGAAAGTGTTACAGCCTTGTTTAGGTCAAAAATTCTTTTAAAGAGTATCTCACAGTAACTTTTTAAAAAACTCGTTCTCTTTTGAAGAATTTTTGTTTCTTTTCTGGCTGGATTGTCGATTTTGAAAAGCCCTTTTTCATTTTTTTTACATAAATACGAAGTTCGTAAAAATGTCCATACTGCTCTGACACAATGATGCCTTGCAAAATGTAGTGGCAAAAAATAGCAGGTAAGTTTTAATACTCATTCTTTCAGTTGAGAATATAGGAAAATTCAACTTTGGTATTACTGTTAACTTCTAGTCTCTTCCCCCTCCCCCTCCCCCCCCCCCCTCCTTCCCAACCCCTTTTTCTACTACAGAAAAACCCCCCCAAAAAGTATTCCACAAAACCATCCGAAAAATTTTTTGGTTATTTTTCATTTTTGTCCTAAACCACACCTGTCTAAGAAAAAGGGCTGGGCAAAGAAACCTTCCCCCCCCCCCCCCCCCCGCATTGTTCTGTATTAAAATGACACTTCCAAGAGGATTATCTGTCTAAGATAACTACTTGTCTCCTCAAGGAAGCAAATTAATGCACTGTTTCAAAACCACCTGCTTGATAGTTTCTTGTTGTCTTTTATCTATATAAGTCTTAAGGTCTTGTGAAAAATTCCTGCATGTGGTCGAATGATGCATCTGGTGTGATATGTGTATTATTGTCTGGTTTACTCTTCTTTTTATATTGAATTTTAATTAGAGTAATATATAATCTACTTTCTATGTATACCTGCTTGTGTTTTCACTCTCCTGTGCAGCCAAGCAACATTTCCCTCTGGGACAATAAAGTAGTATCTCTCTTATGTTACCTTTTCCAGGTTGCTCTTCAACTGTTGGAGACAGCTATTTCCCGTGGCCAGTGGCTCATGCTGCAGAACTGCCATCTGTTGGTGCGCTGGCTCCGAGATCTGGACAAGCAGCTTGAGAAGATGACCAAGCCTCACCCGGACTTCCGTCTGTGGCTGACCACAGAGCCCACACCGTCTTTCCCCATCAGTATTCTGCAGAGATCACTCAAGGTCACTGTTGTGTTTCATGTCTTTGATAAAATGTTAATCCTCGCCCAGCTGTTTAAATACAAAAACCCCCACAAATTTTGAGAAAATTTAAGAAATTGAAGTTTCTACATCTGTTGTGTTGGTTACATGTGCTCAGAAGATGTTTTGTCAAAATTCAGATTCTAAATGTTTAAAAAAAAAGAAAGAAAAGGTACATAATGTGGGTACAGTTGTTAAAAGAATGAAAGTAGTTTCTTCTGTACTGAACAATTTTGTGTTCTAGGCTTAGAACATGTGAACAGCTTGCTGGCTTAATGCTTTTGAACCATTTTATATCCATTATGTAAAATGTGTATTCTTTTTATCTATAATGCATCTTAGATGTATTTGCAATACTTTACTGCTGAATGGCTGCATCAGCTGATATTTCCTTGGACATTAGTATTTTTGGATTTTCTGAAAAAGCATGATGTATTTTGCTACCTATTTTTCAGTTACACAGGCGCTACGGAGTGAACTACTGAAATTTTCTAAAATATGAAAGAACTTGGTAGCATTTAAAAATCCTAAAATATCCCTCAGGTAGGCGGGGTATGAATTTGTCACAGTCTCAGAGTTTGATCAGTCTCCCAAACTATGTATCCATTAACGTTTTCCAAACTTACACCATTCTCCAGGTGGTCACTGAACCTCCCAATGGCCTTAAGCTGAACATGCGCAGCACATACCACAAGATCTCGGCCACAGCTCTGTCCGAGTGTGAGCACCCGGCCTTCTCCTCACTTGTCTTCACCTTGGCTTTCTTCCATGCTGTGGTGCAAGAGAGAAGAAAGTATGGAAAGGTAAGCCTGATATTTGTTTTAGTCGGATTTTATCAGATCGTAGAGAGGTAAGCCAAATATCTGTTTTAATCAGGTTTTATCAGATCAGCATAAAAAGGTAAGCAAAGCATCTGTTTTGATCAGGTTTTATCAGTTCAACAAAGAAGCTGCTGTAACTCGAGTTGAATATTAGCTTTAACTTTTTGACTGTATTACCTGCAAGTAAAGCAGATATGTTCATTTCTTTGTTGGAAATTCATATGATGGATAATTATTTAAATCAGGATATGAGAATGCATCCGCTTAAGTTCTGTTCCCTGCATGTGATCTTTCAACTTTTTGGACTCTAATTCACCGACTCACATTCTTATGAGTTCTGTGCAAGTTCATGAATATGTTTTCATTTAATTTGAATACTGTACCCCGTAAACAAGGGTAGTGTTTGACATGATGAAAGGGTAGATATATTAGTGCTTAAGTGTCTGCTTCTTTTGTAAAAGATGAAACGTCTATAGGAAATTAGGGAATGTAATGCGTTCTGTGTTATAAGTACTTAATGTGGATTTTTTCCATTTGTTAAAAGGCTACCAGGTTCAAATGATAATTTTGTGACAGAAAATGCTTTTAGATTGTTCTTATTTAAATACTTTTTATGCAGCTAACCTTTTCTGTTTCAAAAGAATGTTTGTTTAATAAATGCCTACTCATGGAATGGGTAATCTATAGGCCTATGATTAACCAGTCCTCATGGATTTATGATGCGAGATGTCAGTGGTAGTAGGTCTTACTTCTCTCCCTTTAGTTCTCTATTTCCTTTTGGCTTCTCCTGGTGCTGAGTTATCATTATTGTGTCACTATGGACTTCTCAAACAAAAGTTACACAATACCCTGAAAATGAATATGCAAAGGTTTATCTCCCCAGTTTGGCTATGCACCATGTGTTTAGATATAGACTTTTTTAATGTCTTTGTCTGCATCAAATGAAGTTACAGTTAAGTTGTACAACCGTTATGATTTGTTTTTTGTTGTCCTTCTCCACTGATAAGTCTTTGAGATTGTTACGTTAATGAGATACCAAAACATGAATCAACCAACAAATTTTTTATTTTACCCAGGTCGGCTGGAATGTGAGCTATGAGTTTAACGAGAGTGACTTCCGAGTGTGCATGCAGATTCTCAACACTTATCTCACCAAAGCTGTGGAGCAAGGGGAGACCAAGATCCCGTGGAACAGTCTGAAGTACCTCATTGGAGAGGTGAGTTCTAGGAGAGCAAGGACAATAAACATGCAGAAAGAACACCTCTTCTTTTCTGAGAAGCTCTTGTTTTTGTTCTATCTCTCTATTTTGTTCTGCTGTCTTGCCTTTTTTCACATGCAAATGTTGTGACTATTATTGTAACAATAATCTATTTCTCTTTAATGAAAACTACAAAATGAACGTAAACTCTTCCAGGAGTTAATGAGAGGGTTATTAATTTTCAGTAAGCTCTTGTCTCTCATACCAGAGTTTCCTGTTCAATAGCCTATTCTTGCTGGCATGACATTTCTATATTTGAACAACTTTTTGGGGGGGGAGGTCCCCCTAAATGGACTGAGCTCAATTCCTTCTTGAACGGAAATTAATGACTTACATACGCCATGTACACATTTTATACGACATAGTCTTTTGGCTGTTGAAAGTGAACAAAAAGTGAGCCATAAAGTAGGCATAATTCCATATCAGTATCCATTCCAAACTAAGGAACCTCTGGTAAAAATAGCAAATTTAGAGAAACTTTTGACTCTACAATGTGCCTACTTGTATTTTATGTGAATTGTTTAATGCTTTCGTAAGGAAACTGGCATAGTTTGTTAAAATGAGTTGCATTGTGGGATAAAGAACTTACAGTTAATGACACCTAAAATATAGTCAGAGAATTCCGAAAGAAAAGAGGAAAAAACAATTTTTTAATGTAATGTTTTTACGCCCCCATCAACACAATTTAGATAATTTAGGAAACAGGCTTCCTACCCTGCCTGTCAGGGCCAACCTGTACTGAGATTGAGAGGGAGGATATAACATCCCAGCAGAAAGCCCAAGATATTTGATAAAGATTTACCCCACTCAGAAATTGAACTTGGGTCTCCCGTGTGTGATAGTGAGGCACCTAACTGCTACACCACAAATGCCAATTTGAAGAAGAAAATGAAGAAGGAGGAAGGGAAGGAGAAGAATAAGAATTAGAAGACTGAACTAAGCCTTGCCTTCTATGACAGGTGATGTACGGTGGCAGAGCCATTGATGACTTTGATCGGCGTATCCTGCGAACGTACATGGATGAGTACATGGGAGACTTCATCTTCGACACGTTCCAACCCTTCCATTTCTACCATGATGAGTTTGTTGATTACTTTATTCCTGAGGATGGGCCCAGGGATGTCTATGTTGGTAGGTTGAAGTTGTAAATTTTAAAAAAAAATCTTTTCAATGCTTAGTGGGTTTTGCTCTGAACATTTGAAGAAGAAGAAGAACAAGAAGAAGTACAAGAAGAAGAAGAAGAGGAGGATGAAGTGAAGAAGAAGAAGAAGAAGAAGAAGAAGAAAAGGAGGATGAAGTGAAGAAGAAGAAGAAGAAGAAGAGGAGGATGAAGTGAAGAAGAAGAAGAAGAAGAAGAAGAAGAAGAAGAAGAAGAAGAAGAAGAAGAGAAGAAGAAGAAGAAGAAGAAGAAGAAGAAGAACCTCTTGCGCAGAGTCAGTTAACCATTAAATGTTATGTTTGTGTGCGACAAACATGACTTCTTTTCTTGTGACAGTGTCCAGCGTTTTAGCCAATTTTCCAATTTTGTGAAGGCAACCTTGTGAAGCAAATAGTTATCGCCTGACTTGTCAAATTAATGAGTAGCTATATGAGGGAATTCTATCATTAAACTGTTTAATAAATCCATATCTACCTATAGAATTTATTTACTGTGTTCAATTTTATGTATCTGCTTGGTATACCGCCTTGCTTGTAAGCTTACAGATATTTACGTACTCGTTGAAAGTTAGTCATTGTTCCACTTTCCTATAAAGAATCTATTATTTTTATCTCTCCTCCTTCTACCTTTGTATATTACTCTCAAATACTAATAAATTGCATTTGTATAGCGCAAAATCCCTCTCAACAGCAAGCTCTATGTGTATAACAATCTGCATTATTAGCATAGCAGAACTGATAGCATACTGAAACTATCTCAACTTCCTTGGAAGCATAAAGGACAAGCTGTCATTTATATGTGTGCTAAACCACTAATATACTGACAAGACCTTCCACTGTCTTTGGCCAGGTACCCATTCCTACCTGGGTGAAGTGAGGAAAATTTGTGTAAAGTACCTTTCTTACAGACACAACGTCGGGCCTGCGGCTCGAACATCCGAACCTACAACCTCACAATTACGAGTCCTGTAGCCTTACCACAAGGCCACCTCAAATCTTCAGCAGTTACAGGATCTATTTTAAAACTAAAACTGAAAAAAAGTAAGTGTTTCACTGAAGAACAAATTGACCATAATAATATGTCCATAACTATTCTGTTGCAGATTATATTGAAAGTCTTCCCCTAGCAAACACCCCTGAAGTGTTTGGCTTACATCCCAATGCTGAGATTGGTTACTACACCCAGGCCGCCCGCGACATGTGGTCACACCTGGTGGAGCTGCAACCACAGACTGGTGAGGGATATGATCCGTCTCATTTCCCCTTCTCTCTATTTTTCTCTCTGTCTCTCTCTTTTTCATTTTCTCTTTCTCTCTCTCACACTCACTTGCATGCGTGCACACACACACACACACACTCACACAGACACAGACATACACACACCGACACACACACACACACACACACATACACACACCGACACACACACACACACACACACATACACTCACACACACATACACACACACACACACACACGTCACTAAGAAAGGTTTAGAGAGAGGGAAATTCTACCGTTTTGTAAGTAAACAATTTTAATCAGGTAATTTTCCCTTCCCTGATGACAGACTTTTCTTTTTAAAATCTTTCTTCTGCCTTAAAATAGGGTCTCATTTTGCTTATTCCCTTCCATTGCCTTATGATTATAGTTAAAACATGAATGAAGTGAGAGTTGTGTTTAAAGGTCTAACTTAGCTTTTTATGTATTAATTAGACAGCTGCTAAGCTTTTGAATTTCTTCTTACAAAAATCTGTGCCTTTCTTGATAACTCAAGTGCAATGTTATCCCCTTAAATATACAGTTGGGCACAGGTACTATGAACATGAAAAACTCAAAATCACAGATAGCTTGTACAATTTGCTTTTCCGCGACTAATATCTCCTGATTGTTTTTCTTAATCAATTTACCCAAATTAAGGACCACTTTCGTCAATCCCCAATGTGGCTGAGCTGTCCGTGCCCCACTGTTCATGAACTTCTTCATTGTAGAATTTTCTGTCTTTGTTTTGTGCAGGCGACTCTTCTTCTGGCATCAGCCGTGAGGATTTCATCGACCAGATTGCCACTGATGTGCTCAATAAGCTGCCTGCAGAATTTGAGCTGGACAAGATCCGTAAAAATCTGGGCACAGATATTGGCCCAACCACTGTGGTGTTGCTACAAGAGCTGGAACGATTCAATTTGCTCATTTCTCGTATGAGAAGATCCCTAGCCACATTGAAGAGGGTGAGTAGTTGTCAAATATGTGTGGCATTGTGATGAAATTTGGCGCTTATTTAAAAAATAAAATCAAAGAAAACGAAATTTTTTTTGCTCAATTTGCGAATTTCTATTGGGGTCTTTTTTCGGTCTCAACATTTTTTATGTTTATTGAAAAACAGATTTCTCTGTGGATTTTTTTGTAAAACATTGATCAAAGCCATAAAAAATGTAAATTTGCAGTTTCCAATGACACCAATAACTACATGCCCAAAAATTGTCCAGCATCTGATTCCAGTGTGTTGTGACACGCATTGAAACTGAGGCAAATACTAAGCGCTGAACTCTTATGAGACACGAGACACAAGGTACTTTCAGCATTATCTCTCCTGATTGCCAATTTTTCTCAGTTGTTCAAAGATATAATTACTGGTAACCCAGATGGAATTTTCCATTGCTTTGAAGAAAAGTGGTTGTCTTAGAGGAGTGAACAGTCCCATTACGATTCTTTTTAGATGCAAACGGGGAAATGGGAAGCGGTTGCTTGTATCGACGATTGTCTTGAATAGGTGGCCGTTAGAGTAGAGGTTCAACTGTATCATAATGTTTCCAATGGGGGACTGTTCTGAGATTTCTTTCTCCTCTTCACCAATAGATCGTTTATTTTTCCAACTCTCTCGTCACTTATTATTTATAAAATGCATATTTGAGACATCATGTGGTGGAATCAGGCGCTCATCAAAATAATGAAATTGAAGAAAAGGGTTTTTCTCCGCCAGTTTGTCAATTTTTTTTTATTTCTTATTTTTTGGCTCAATGCTTTCTATGTCCATTTAAAAACACATTTCCTTGTGAATTTTACTGAAACGGGTTGAATAAAGGCACAAAATATGCAATTTTTCAGTTTTCAAGGACTCTCAAGCTATTGAAGTTACCAATATTTGGCGTCCTTTTTCTTGATAATTTCGCAACTGACCCCACCTCCTTCAGTCTCAAATGTCTCGAATTCTATTCATAATAGATGGTTATTTCTTTCATTGAAAGCAAGGCAAATGAATAAGCTTTCAGATGACACCATTAACTCAACCTGCCAAAAAATTGATGAGCGCATGATTCCACCGCGTCATGACACTTAGATCTAGTTAAGACAAGTAATTTTCCTTGAACTTAACATAAATTTTGATTTGCATATTATCTCCTTTTCTTATTTTGTTGAGACTTCCCCAGTTCAAAAGCACCCTTATCATGCCTATTCTGCCATGCCAAGGCAGACCGACATATCTGAAAAAAAAAGTTTTTCATCTTCATTTAAATGGACGCCTATACCCATTCTGCATCGTGTGTCAAAGGCAGGAAGACGTATCTGCTCTACAAATAGGATATTTCATTATGGCAAATCGACGTACTGAAAGGCCATGTCCATATTACCAATGGCAGCACGACGTAACTCAAAATCATAAAAAGTGCAGATACGACGCTCTGCCTTGGCACGGCAGTATTGTGATGTAACAGTTGTAATGTCAAGGTGATTTGCACTCAGTGAACCTTGTTTGGACTTGGATATATAGCATACCTGTTATTTTTTAAAATTTTTACTTGAATTGCAGTTCTCCTCATTTGACCATTTGACTAACATTTCTGTCTATAGGCTCTGGCTGGTGAGGTTGGTATGTCCAGTGAGTTGGATGATGTGGCTCGTTCGCTGTTCAACGGGCAAATTCCTTCCATCTGGAGACGACTGGCCCCAGCCACTCTCAAGTCCCTTGGCAACTGGATGATTCATTTTGAGAACAGATTCAAGCAGTACAACACCTGGGTAAATTTTTGTTGATGCTATAGTAAAACTAGCATTTATTCTGAATGTTTTTGAGTTCGTGTACCCATCATCAAGGTGCTGTTCCAGCTTAACACCCTTTGTGGCAGCTCCTGTACACGATATGTTGAACGTCATGAGCCAAGATGCTGTCTCTCTATTTATTGTACACCCTTAACAGCATCATAAAGGATTCTATAACGGTTCTACTATAGCTTTGATGAGAATTTTACTGGAAAACTAATAAATAAAGGATTCTAAATCTGCGATAAAACAAAGTTGTATCTACATAAAAGTAGTATTTTTCTTCTTTTTTTTTTCATTTTCTAAATGCTCTGCTTATAGAATGATCTGTAATGTGTATCAAAGGATGTGACTTCAACAAAATAGTTTGAACATGCATCCTGTCTTTTCTTGTTTTTTCTTTTCTTGTTCCATGGTTGCCAAGCGTCAGTACTTCGTCTGCTTTTTATTTTCTCTGTATTATCTCTGTCTTTCTTTCTCTTTCTTTCTCATCATTTCCTTTCGCTTAATAAGAATCATTGCTTTAACGTATATATATTCTTTTAACTAAAAGAGCTTGGGTTTTTATGTCCTTTTAGAGGTGTTTCCACAAAGTAACATACAAAGAAAAGAAGGAGGAGAGGAGAGGTAATGACAATAGACATTTGATAGAAAAGAAGGAGCAATCCGTACCAGAGCACTCACCAACCACTCATTTTTTTTGGGGGTCTTCTCAGGTCACGGAATCCGAGCCCCCAGTGATGTGGCTGTCTGGCCTGCACATCCCAGAGTCTTATCTGACTGCCCTTGTACAGGCGACTTGCCGCAAGAATGGCTGGCCACTAGACAAATCCACCCTGTACACGTCCGTCACTCAGTATTCTCATGCTGATGATGTGACTGAGAGAACAACATCTGGTGAGTTTGAGATTGGGGACTTTGTCGAGAGCTTAGTATCTCATCTATTGTTTTCTTTGTTCTCTGACATATGGCTTTGTTAGCTCTCTGCTGTTCCCTGTCTGTCTCTTTCCTACTATCTGTTTCTGTTTATCTGACTGCCTGCCTCTTTTTTTCTTTCTTTCTTTCCCCTTCCCCTCCCACCTCTATTTCTTTCTCTCCTTCTCTCTCTCTCTCTCTCTCTCTCTCTCTCTCTCTCTCTCTCTCTCTCTCTCTCCGTTTCCCTCTTTCTCCACCATCTCTCTCTCTCTCTCTCTCTCTCTCTCTCTCTCTCTCTCTCTCTCTCTCTCTCTCCCTCTCTCCCTCCCTCTCTCTCTCTCTCTCTCTCTCTCTCTCTCTCTCTCTCTCTCTCTCTCTCTCTCTTACTTCATGTAGACATATATACCTCTCTCCTTCCCCTTCCGATCTCCTCCTTTCTCCTTCAGTCTCTTCTTTTTCTGTCTTGGAAAATAATTCTTCCTCAACAATATTCTACGCATGCACACTCAATGTCCTTATCGTCCTTTGTCCTCATCCTTCACCCACTCCCTGTCGTTCTCTTTCTTTCTTCTAGCCTCACATTTTATTTTTATCAACCAAGAGCTCATACCAAAAAATTCCTCATGAAAATACTATCCTATTCACACATTGAAGATTGCACTTTCAATACATTCACAACATAGGAATACTACAGACCCTTTGTTTGGTAAAAGTGTTACAGCGCTCGCAATCTACATAAGGTCATCTGAGTGCGCATGACAGAAATTGGTTATTTTTATTTGCTCATAGCATGGCTTGGATTTACTTTACGAATTGAATTGTTGAAGTATTTAGAAATAAAAAGAATAAATTATTTTTGAAATAACAGAAACTTGGCTTTATCATAGTAACAACTACTTGAATTTTTTTAGCAAAGACCAGCAATCTTTATAAAACCGAGAATCGTGTTGGGATCAATGATAGAGAACAAACTTTTAAAATTAGAACATTTAGAATATTTCTTTGGGTCTCCCCAAAGTACGGGACATTCCATCAGGATCATGTGCCCAATCATATTGTCCTTATCGCATCCGATACGAAATGGTTTATCAACTCCTTGCGGGGAGGTACATGTATGTCCAATGTGCAATATGGTTAAGATAACTTTGTCTCTTCTAGAGAGAGCCAAAGGTTTTTGTGGGCCCAATTTAGGCAAAATATGGGTAGTTTATTATTCACTTGTTTATGCTGTCGTTTTTCATATAAAACACCCTCCAGAAAATGTAATTCTGTTTGTACATGATGTATATTTTAAGATTTGTCATTTAGTACCTTCACAACATAGAAGTAGTACAGATCAGAAGTACCCATTGCCAAAATGATCTGAAACAGTTGTTATTGTTACTTATTCCTTGTATTTAAAACATATACACAGTGAAGTTTGTACATAGCGAAAAGATTTCCGGGTCCCGTCGATTTTTGCTATATTATGCATGTTAGACTACATATTTACCCGTATGCCCTTCAACATAGGAGGACAGAAAAAAGTAGAAGTAAGCACATTCGGTACCGGTTAACATTTTTGCTGTGTCTCCAGGTTGCTTTGTCCATGGTTTGTACTTGGAGGGAGCCGGCTGGGAAAAGGAGAACAGTCAGCTGATAGCACAGAAACCCAAACAGCTGATCCAGGAACTTCCTGTTCTCAAGATCATCCCCATTGAGGCTCATCGGCTCAAGCTACAGGTACGATTAATCTCGTTGTTCTAGATCTAGTTAATTTTGTTGTTTTGGTTAATTTGGTTGTTGCAATTGATCTTGTTGTTTTCATTGATCTAGTTGTTTTAAATAATTTTGTTAATTAATTTTGGTTGATTTTGTTGCTTTGTTAATCATGTTGTTTGTTTCTCTAGAAAAAACAACAACACAGTTTAGGAAAGTTTGTGTTTGAAACTGTGAAAATAAAGCTCACCCCTTTACGCCATGATTATTTTAAAGAATGTTTTATGGCATGACTACAAAACTGACTATGCCCCTTGCAACACTGTATTGTAAGATTATTTAAATGGTAGAACCTCCAAATTTAACATACATCTCAGATAAGACCAAACCAAATGGGAAAATTCATATAAAGTGTAAGACTGAGCTGAGCCTTGAACCCCTGAACTCACAGTTTCAGGCATGATTACGAGTCTTGGTAGCTTAACCACTAGACTACTGATGAGGCCTCTGACGGATGCTTTATAGTTAAGATTAACTCTTTCACTTCCGGGGAGGTTTTCCTCACCTGGAGCGGGCCCTGTCAGTGACCTACTTTCTGATTCTGCCTATCGTCGGACAAATTAAAGATTTTTTAGTTCAATTTTCAATATTAACCACATGTCTTACATACGGAAATAAAGGAGAAATAATGACCTATCGCAACATGTTACTAAAAACGATCATTTTTCAGCCTGAGATTTCAGATTCGATTATTATAAAAGTGGGTGGGGTGAGGTTTTGAGGCAGAATGTGGAGAGCCGGGAACTATGTTTTGTTTGTTTTTGTGAATTTTTTTACGGCGCTCGCAACTGCATAGGTCATATGAGCGCGCGGGACACACCTAATATTTTCAGTTGGTAGGAAACTGGGAAATATGGCGCACTGTCCGGCGCTGGTGGTAACATGAGCCCTGAAACACGCGGTAGTGAAAGAGTTAAAGCATTCCTATGTTCAAATCAAAGTTTGCCAGCGCAACAAAAAAATGTTCTTAGTTAGCTTCCACTGCGTTTTGAAAGTGATTGAAGTGGGATGTTGTTTGTTGTGTGTGTGGTGTGTATGGGTGTTTGTTTGTGTCTGTGTATGTGTGTGTGTATGTGTGTGTGTGTGTATGTGTGTTTGTGTGTGTATGTTGGGGGGGAGCAAACTTGATATTTCTTTCATTTTGTTCTCGATTGCATCTCACTTGAAGTCCGGTATCTTTCATAAATTTGACTGTCCTGCTCAGTTCATCTGTCGGCCCGTGTAGCTTCTCTTGTAGTGTCAGTGTGGTTGGCCACGTTTCCTGTCTCAGGGCCCTGTGTGTCTTGCAGTGTTGAAGGAGGTTGATAGATTATTATAATTTGGTTTAATTTTTGGGACCTGTTGTTTTGCCATGGAAATGATCTACTCAGAGTTTGAGTACGACATTGAGCCATCAACATAAACTATAATATATTAAAAAACCCAGAACTTTTGCAGTATCAATTGCTTTGGTTTGTCCACAGAACACGTTCCGTACACCTGTGTACATGACCTCTCAGAGACGTAACGCCATGGGTGTCGGTCTCGTGTTTGAAGCTGACTTGGCCACCCATGAGCACATCTCCCACTGGGTTCTCCAAGGTGTCTGCCTCATCCTCAACACAGACTAGATGCTGAAGGTCCCCACCAAGATCTGTAAGAGCTGAAATGGAGCATCACTGGATACCAACACACATACTTTTTCTTAGCATCACCAAATCTAATTTAACCGGTTGTATGAAGGTTGTAACCATCTAGCTGAAGTTTTATAGATATATTAAAGTTGTATTGAAAATGGCTGACAATTGATTTTGTTTACAAAACAGGAAATATATTGGACAATATTATCTGTTCACTAGTAGATATATATATTTGTGACATTTCTGTCCAAAATTTTGTGTGGAAAACAAAAATTCAATAAATTTATATTATTTCCTTTGTGTACAGAAGGGTGTGTTTTACCATTTGACTAGAAATTTGACGTGAGGTAAAGTCTTTTTAGTATTTTTTTCACAAGAAAATATCTGCTTGTTTCCACAAAGCAATCCCATATTTTTGTGAATCAACATTGACAGAATAACAGTGATAGTTACTCAAAACTGTATTGGTTAGAAGCGGACAATCAACTGGTTTTTGTATTTGTTAAACTTAAATGTTGTTAAAGATAAAGCTGCACTGTGTATGATGAATTCTTTTACAACTAATAACTGAATCTGCTATTGCACCTGTTAAGTTGAAGATTGCAGCCATGTAGAGAAAGTGATGTATGAATAATATGTACTGATCTTAAAGTGTTTCCATGTTTTTCACTAGTGTGAAATCTTTTAACTGACAACAAGCTGTGATATAATTTTAAGTATGCTGTTCTTATGTTCCTTAGTGTATCCTTGATTGGTCAAAATTTTGGCTTCAGGCAACTGTTTTATTCATAAGTTTATTTATTCCGTTGAGGAATTGCAGTTCTTTTAGATAAAAAAAGTGTTTTCTTTCTGATAGAAAACACAATAATATTATTTTTTCTCTTATATTTCATTCTATGTTTGTAAACCATAGTTCATGTTTAAAAAAAATTAATAACAGAAATGACAGGCATAGTTTTTTTAAACCAATGTCTTGAATTTAAGTTTTATCTTTTTCTTTTTTTAATTAGTTCCTTCACAAATGGAACTTTTCCTATGAGTGTACTTTTCATAACATGGAATGGTTTTCTTCTGATCAGGTTTGTCAAGTATTGAGTAGTATTTTCCTTCTATGTTAAAGAAAAATGTTACTAGTTTGTCGACTGGGTTTTGTTTTCCTGTATAATTTGCCTTGCGTTGGCTGAAACATTATTGTTACTTCAAACTTTTCTAAGATTTTACAACCTTTTGTTGAGTTCTTTTACCATGATATTGAATTTCTATTTATTTTAGAAGGAAGACTGAGAACGGACAGTATGTATAAGAGAGCTTTGACATACGGTCATATATTGCGATAATGCTTTGTTTTATATATATTTATTTTAATCACCAGTACAAAGATACTAACGGGACAATAATTTTTGTTCTCCAAATTGAAGAGCTGTTAATTTTTTTACTCAAATGAAACTGATCATCCCTATACAGGTGATCAAAATATTATGTTCTGGATTATTGCTGCACAGCGAAACAATGCCGTCCGTGAATAAAGGAGTGAAGAATATCGTTTGTTTGTCTTTACTAATTTGAAGTGTGAATTATGCCCTGTGACCATTATCTTTTAAGTAAGTGTTTTAAAAATTACTTCTGATTTAAAAAAACAACAACAACTGGTGTCTTATGCCACAATTTAGATCATTTGGAAGGTGGGTTGCTTTGACCTGCCTGTCTTGGCCCACCCAGGCTAAATGGGATACAACATCCCCGCAGACAGTTGGAGATACTCAATAAAGAACTCCCTCTGCCATGAAAACTGGACTCGCGACTGTTTTGAGCAACAGCAAAAGAGCGTAACAGATGCCATTCTGATTGTTCTAGAATTTTCTGGTAGCAATAATAGCACAAGCAAAGAATCAAAGGATTGCATTCTGTCGTATCTTGTGTTTATCTAGATAGTTAGAGATACTTGATAAAGAGCTAACCTCCCTCCCCCCCCCCCCCCCCACCACACTCGAAAGGGGTACTCTTGTATTTTTCATGCAATGGCAAAGAGCCTATATTATATACAGTGAAAACCATATGTGAGGCAGCGTGGTGGAATGAGGCTCTCGTTTTTTGGCTCCACAACTTTCGTGCCCATTGAAGAACTCATTTTTGAGTGGATTTTTCTGAAAAGCGTTGATTAAAGGCTCAAAAATGTAAATGTTCTGTTACCACGGACTCTTAAGCTAAGGAAATAACTAATTTTTAGCGGCCATTTTCTCTCCAATTTTACCTCTGTAAACAGACGCTAAAGATTAGTTATTTCCTTAGCTTAAGAGTCTGTGGTAACAGAACATTTACTTCATTTTACTCTACTTCTTTTGTATGTTTGTCAGTCTCTTGTGAACTGCTATTTCCGGGGTGCCTTGATAATCAAAGCAGACTTTGTGCTGTTGCGGCGAGAGAGGTGATCAGAGTAAGCCCGATTCCCCGTTTGGACTTCTCTGTTGACATCCACCCCTTGGCGCTCATTTTATGACCTTTTGCATTTTTAAAAAATGGTTGGGTTTTTTTTGGGGGGGGGGGGGGGGGGGGTAAGTGTTTTACGCCCTTACAACTCCACAAGGTCATATGAGCGCGCGGGACGCATGAAGAATTTTTGGTTGCTGGGAAATTTATTTTGGCCGGAAGGCGGCCGATTTTGAACCACCAGGGGTCTTTAATTAACGTATGCAACTTACACCAGGGACCTCCGCGATTTTTCTCCCTTATCCGAGAAGGCTTGGTGTAGATCTACCTACAATAAGACCAGGGGTGTGACTGAAAGACAGAAGAAGGAGCCAAGGAGCAGCAGTAGAAAGCCTGCAGAAAGAGTCGGGGCCCAGAGGAAGCAAAGCAGGTGAGGGGGACGAGAGCAGACGACGGAATATGTTAGAGATCAGGGAATGATGTGAAAGGAGAACATTTTAGAGAAAAAAAAATTTCCCGTCGCTTTCTGCATTCGAACCCGGGACCTATTGAATGAGAGGCGAATACCTTAACCTGTAGACCAGGAGAGCCCCCCCCCCCCCCCCTTTCTTCTCTTTAAAATGTTACGTTATCTGGGCTCCTAACTCTTTCTGCAGCCGTTCTACTGATTCCTTATTATTGGCTCCTTCTTACTTCTGACTTTCAGCCACGACCCCGATCATAGGGCAGGTAAGATCTAACACCTACCTAAATTTCTCGGGTAAAGGCGAAAAAAATCTCTGAGGTCGCATCAAAGATTCTCAATTAGTAGTGGAGAGTCTTTGGTCCCATGTGGAAGTTGCAAATGTTAAAGATCCCTCGGTGGTCCCAAATCGATCAGAGTAGACTTCAGCCACCTGAGCAAAATTCAAATGTAACTCCTACCAAACTGAAAATGCGTATGTGTCCAGTGCGCTCATATGACCTTATGCAGCTACGAGCGCCGTAAAACACTTACACCCTTTTTATTTTATTCATGTAGCTTTTGTTTGTTTGGGTAATCAGCACAAGATTTTTAAAAAAACGTCAGTAAAAAGCTACCCACTCGAATGTGTAGCCTACAGTATCACTTTAGTTGTTCTTCAATTGAGAAGTAGATGCAACACACCATTGTTATGTTATAAGAAGAAGTGAAATTAGGAGGGAATTCGTCTTTGATAACCAAATGGGAGGATCTGTGATGAGTTTTTTGGGGGTCGTTTTTGTTTGGGTTTGGAGGGGGGTAGGGGCGTTAATACCTGTAGCAGTGAATGAATAGTAAAGGGGCGTTGACTATTTGTTGAAAAAAAAAAAACATTCGGAAAAAAACCCAAACAAACCAAACCAAACAAACAAACAAACAAACAAACAGACAAACAAAACAAAAAGCACCCAGTAATGAAGAGATATGTAAATAAAAAGAGTCCTTGAAATTAAATATTTCACCATTGACTTTTGACCATCAAGACTGCGGTTCAAGAGATATCACCTTCTTACGTAAGGAAAGTTGCCACCTCTCTGAGATTATATTTAATCGTTTGACCTTTAGTAGTCATGATGCTTCTTCAAGAGACAGTTTGCGCCTATCTCACACTGCACGATTTGGGTTAATATGCTGTTAAATGGCACGTATACTTCTGTTAAGATACACATACATGTATATCTATATTAAGTAGTTTTAGTTTTAGTAAGCGTTTTACGGCACTTGCAACACAATTAGGTCATATAAATGCCGAAGATTAGAGGTGTTACAAGAGAGTAACAAACATAAAAAAGGAGAGATAAAGATGACAGTTGTTTGATAGGAAAGAAGGAGCAAACCACACCAGAGCACCCGCCAACCACCCATTGTTTAGAGTTTAGAGCAAAGAGATCATACTACGTACAATTCCAGGATCCTTGGTTGATTTATTATTTTTTTAAAATAGAAAAATAGGCTGGAATTACTGTTTCTATCTCTGTTCGGTCTGAAAGAGGGAAATAAAAAATAGCCTAGGTTAAGAATTATTTTTATATTCTTTGGCCGGTTGATGGCAACTTTTCCCATTAGCGATTAAAGAAGATACAACAACAACAACAGCAACAAACAAACAAACAAACAAACAAACCAACAAACAAACAAAAATAATAACAACCTCAGTCGAGCCTGCTCTAACGGCCCTTTTTCAAAGACAATCACCTGTACATAAATGAACGTACCCCC